AGACAGGAGCACAGGCAAAATCGCAGCAGGAACTCGGAGACACACTGAGAACATTTCAGCTTTACTGGCAACCACCGGTCGAAAGCCACTACGAAGAAACTGACGTCTCCATACATCCATGATGGGATCCTTCAGCGGCAACTGCTCAGTGTTGTGCCATGAGTCACAGGTACAGTCAGCAGTGTGGCAACGCGTCAGCACAGGAAAGATACGCACAAGGTGTTTGATGGGTGAGGAAACAAACTCCTCCCAACTCATGGTGCATTCATCCCGATAAACCATCACTTTCACAGTCACCACATCAAGTTGGTCCAAGGAAATGGTCGAATCAACTGCTTGCTTTTCAATGAATCCTTCACCCAATTGCACAACCGTTACCTCCGTCAAAAGCGGTTCTTTGTTGGCTATGCAAACACACGGGATAGTGACCCGAGTATGTGGCAATACAGTCTCAACTTCATGTCCTGGTGGGCAGAACACTGCCAGAGCCAAAGGGTCCTTAGAAACCAACTTGCCTGCCTTCAGGTATGGAAGAGACTCCTCAAGAGAAATCAACGCCACTCCATGAGCCAAAGGACCAAGCTGATTGACCGCAATCTGTGGAACATCATGTCCCGCTGCATGAAAGACCTTTCCTGGTAAGGCCAATTTGGATGGGTCAACCATCTCCGGAAGAGCAGGGCGTGGCACAGGGACATTATTCTTCTTTCTGCGACCTACCGGCAAACTTTTGTTCTGAGCAACCACCGCTTCCAACTCAGCAGGCATCAGAAACTGGAACTTGTGATTGTTACCTAAGGCTTTGAGAGATCTCCAAACGTTCTTGGTCTGCAATGCTTGATGAACTTGCTCAAGGCCAAGTGCTTTCACCGCTTGTTGAGCTCTCTGCTCCACCACATCCTCTGGGACTCCATGTTTCACCAATTCAGCTGAAAGCTGCTTCACGACTGCTTGGTGGCCACCCAAACCCCATGCGACAGGGCAAATGCAACACTTCCCTTCAAACAATGCATGAACAAAGCTTGCTTTCATATTGGAGTGGAGATCAAGGAGAGCCTCCAAGCTGTCAGGTAGATCAGCGGACACCATGATATGACCCAAGAAGGCAATCGCGGCAGCACCACATAAGGAATGATCTGGCAAACGGTTCGGATGAGTGTTCAAGACCATCTCTTGGAATCCAAACTGCACTCGCAAAACCTCAAGCAGAGGGACGACAACGACATGATCAATCACTTCATCACGAATGACATGTGCAACGAGGACTTTGCCATGAGGGACGATCCAAATCGGAAACCAATGCTCTTCATGAAGGAAAATGGCAACTATGTGAAAACCCTTTTCCTGCACAACCTGGTTTCGGCGACACCATGATTCACACATTGTTGGTCCTATGGAGTCCCATGTCGTGAGAAGCAAAGGGTCCATCATGACAAAGCCCGGAATACCAGAGAAGCTGGAGTTCGCAACATTTCTCGGATGATTCATCATGTGCTGCAGATGAAACCTGATCTCATCATCCCCCCACATTTTACCTTTCTGTCTGAGGAGGTCAAGTCTTGCTTCCTTATCAATACATTGATGGGAAAAGCACGTGTCAAGTCGGGGAACAGTGCCTGCAGGATCTGCAGACGAAGCCTGTCCAGGTTCGTTCGGAAATTCATATGGGTCTGCATCTCCTGCTCCCCAAATCCATGGGCGTCTTGCAATCTGGCACCTCACCACCTCCTGCCTATATGCCTCTCTGAGTCTGCAGTGGACAAGGTCAGCATCATCATTGTTTGCAGGGAGCATGGAATTGAAAACCGAGTGATGCAGGAAAGCCATGGCCAGAGCCCCACATTTGTCCGACATGAAAAAGAGTCTCTGGTGTCGCAAAATCGTGACCTGATCAAATCCCAAGAGCTTGCCAATCTTTTCAATCACAACATTCAAGTCATCATGAGCGTGACTAGGAAGATCCCAAGTCGTAAACAGCAAAGTTTTACCATTGGGTGTCAGCACAACCGGGATCCAATGTCCAGCAACCACACATGCAGACAAAATGATGATGCCCTCAGCCAAGATCTCGGGATGATCCTTCGCCCAACCGTGGCACAGACCAGTACCATGTTGAACCCACCCCGTCAGCAACAGTGGATCAAGCATCATACACTTCTTTTCAGGACTGGCAACTGTGTCAAATCTCTGTGCATTGCGAAGGTTCAGCAAAATGCCGATATGATACCGGAACTCATCATCCGACCACACAACATCTTGAGCATGCAAAATGGCGGCACGATCTTCTGACTTCAAGAATTGATGCCTCAGTGCCCAGAGGTGCTTGGTGCCCTGGACAGCGGGTGGATTCAGTTTGAGAAACTGTTTGTCTTTCAAACCCAAAAGAGGGGCCGCAGAAATCCATGACTCACAATCCGGCATCACTTCCTTTGGCACTTCACATTCACCAGCATCAAAAGGTCCAAACGATCCCTCATGCTCAGTCATGGCAGGTTCATTTGCTGGAAAGGTCCAAGGCAAGGTGGGGCTGACGAAAGCAGCCGGATCTTCACACCTTTGATGAGTTTCATTCAACTTTGGGGCCACGGACATACTTTGACTTTCACAGGGCAGCTGAGCAGTCTGGGTCAAGGGCTCTTTGCGCACTGCGGCACAGTTGATGTGAACTACCTGTCCTGCTTGCAAGACATGTTCATCCCTAAGGTCATGCCCAAATTGGTCACGCACCGTCAACCAGGAAATGTCCGGTCAATTGGGCATGTGCACAGATCAACCTTTGCACTGTTTCACCTTCAGTCACTCGAAATTCAACCGGCAGCGAAGCTTCATGATGAAAAACAACCACACACAGGTCATGAGGAGCAACAACTTCGGAGGTACCATGAGTTTCAACAGGAGGTTCAAACCAAGGTGTTGGTTCATCACATGCATCATCATCAAGAGCAGTCATGGCAACATCTTGACATGAGAAAACCCTAGGCACCTGCGTCATTTGGTGTTTTCGGATCAGCAAATCAAGGACAGATGCAACGGAGACTGTACACGGATGCAAGTCAGGCCACCGCAAAGGGGAAATCAGCTCAGGCATGGACAGGTGTGAGACCTCTGACCAAAACTCTATGAGCGCGACCGTATTGGAATCAACAATTGGTTCCTCCTTGGCAGGCCAGACCTGCCTTCCCCTCATCAAAATCCAAGTGACAAACGCTTGAATCTGTGCCTGAGCATTGAACTGAGTCGGGACACCACGGATTTGTTGCAATCTTTCTTCCAAGGCTGAGAAAACCCACGCGGCTTGCAAAGGAGACGCCATCTGACCTGCAGCAGAAAGTGTGAGGCGAGGAGAAGGACCAAAATCAATCATGGGGTCAAAGCCACACATCATCATCACCTCGTTAGGATGTGCATGTCTGAGTACCATGGGCTTCATCTCAGTCGGACATGATTGAAGGAGACATCCAAAAAGCCCTTTCTCTTTCAAACGATGTTCGGAGAGGCCAAACTTTCTGCATCCACAGCTACATCCTACCACCTGGGAACCCCACGAATGCAATGCACACGGTGCAACAGACTCAAAATTGAGAAGGTATCTGCAAAATGAATCATTTTCGACCCCAAACGCTTTCTTTTCAATCTCATTCAATGACAAATCATCTTCATCCTTCGAATCCCAAGGCTGAACCAAAGGAATCAGCTGTCTAACCTTTGTCACCACCTGCATCCTGGGCCAAGCAGTGAGAGGTATGGAGCCAATGAATGAGGATGTGATAAGCCACCATGCACGGTTGCGCCTGGCTGGCCAAATGTCATCAAGTCGGAGGTCACACTGAGAAAGGCTGTACCCTGTGGCATCAAGGAATCTTTGGATTTCAGATTGCACAAAGACATTACCCGCTGCCGGTTGGACGCATTCCAACACCACTGCTTGAACTTGAAGCAAAAAGGCAATTGACAGGACACCTGTCAGGCAAGATGACCTGGGATCCATTTCACCTCTTTGATCACCTAACATGGAGTAGGGCTGACATGCAAACCCCGCAGCTAATGTGCCGGCACCCTTGGAGACACTCCAAAGCTTCACCAGAGTATCCACCTGAGTCACATCACCTACGATCCTTTCAGCACCACACTGCATTCCATAAAGGCCAAGCATGCGTTCATTCATGTCTACTGCTGCAACAGGTCGGAAACCAACAGCTGACATCCCTTGGTGCATTCCTCCAAAACCACTACACAGCTCTATGACCTCATGGATCGTATGCCATGACGGGGGATCATGACGGAAAACATGGGACTGCTCGTCCAACACCAGCCATGGTAAAGGAAACTGTTTCCTAAACTGAGCATTGACCAGAGAAAACGTGGAACCAATCCCTTCCAGTAATCCAGTCAAATGAAACTTGGCACCCTCATGCTTGGAGATCAGGAGATGAGCATCATGATTGCTGTCCCAACACTGTAAACTCGCTACCAGTGAAATTCGTTGGCCTTCATCGCAGCACCTGAACACCGGTGGAAGATCCAATGCCATGGGGAAAGGAAAACCTGGGATGACAAGCCTGCCCTCGTTTGGCCCGCACCGCTGCACCTGCTGGTAGGTGATTTGGGCCCTCGCAGCTTTCCAAACCACCAACCAGAATATGACTGTATCATATTGCCCATATGACTAATAATCACATTGGGAAACTTATGGAAAGAATCATTCAATGGATTGATTTATGGGACGATTCAATCGGCACCATGGTCTTTAGTTATGGCGCTTGTTCCGTAAATATTCCATACAAAGGTTTTCCTGCAGATTTTCCCTTCATCCAAATCTGGGAAATAAATGATGAAATGAGAATGATTGCGAATGCCTGGGCACATACCATGCATCATGTGATACATCGGATACACAGTATCGAACGATCGACAAAAAATCACTAGATTCCTGAGGATTTCACTAACCGCCTGCCCAAAAGCCTCAGCCAACTGGAGTTTCACCCAACTGGGGCTGAGGCAATGAGACCCAACGCTCGTTCACAAACCTCCTTGGAGTCATGCTTCCTGAACAAAGCTGCGAGGGAATCCGGTGGTCTCGAGATTTTATACCCACTCATAAGGTGGTAAAACCAATGAAACACCATGTGCCACTATAGCAATGATAGTATAATGGCGTAGTAATATAGCTTCTTTATGTTCTGATGAACGTCAAGAAGCTTCTTGAAGTCTTGTTGGGTTTACGGCTTGCGACGCTACTAACCCAGATCATTTGCCAGGAAAATGTGCAAAAACAATGTCCAACACATCTGCAAATGCTGGCAAAGGCGGCAACGACCGGGTGCAAACCCTGAAATTGTGGAAAGGTAGCTCAGTGGTTTCACCACTTTCACCAACAGCCTATGGCAAAACAATGGCCAACGCTGGCCAACCAAGTTGAATCCAAGTTTCAAGAGATTTAACACCACCGGAATCGGCTGTGTTAGTGGCGCACCCACCGGTGGCGGCGGCGGCGCTGGTGCATCATACGGGGCGCCAGGTCCACCAGGTCCAGCGGACCCCGTTGTGCCCGTTGTGGTTCCCGGGGGTCGCTGGGAGTCGATGCACGTCACCGCCAGCTTGCCCTGATCTTCCATCAGCGATCGGACGATCGCCTCCAGGTCCTGCATCTCCTGCGGGAAAGTCTTAGCCGGACACCAGGGTTCTCCCCATGGAATACATATTTATATATATATAATCATATTTATATATATAATGATATAATATATATATATATATGCATACATAATGATATATATATATATATCAGTATATATAAATACGGTATCATACTGTTATACTGGTTTTCTGTAAAATGTCCCTTGAACCAATCAATTATAATTGAAGATATGGAAACACATCCCACATTCGTTGTGGCTTAGTCACCTGAGTCCTAGAAACATGGTGGAACTATACCCCACAACCATGATAGATCCAAAGTGCCACCATTTGAGGGAATTCAGTGTATATTAAGTTATATTAGATGCATTCTAACTTGACACTAGGGGGATGGGATTCGTTTGTAGGAATTGGATGGAATTGGTGGGTCTTTGGGGAAAATCTTCGGATAAGGGGTCTGATCTGGCAGACAGCAAAGGGCTGATGGCGTTGCACGCAGATTAGATCCAATGATCTGATGCTCCAGAAATACCTGTGAACTGCCGCATATTAGCGCATAGTCCCAAAGTGTTTGTTGATGAAACGAGGTTCCCACCGGTTGCTGGTCGTTCCACCCAGGAACTCTCGCCAGTGGCCAACCAGCTAGAACATGCAGTTGCAACCTCGACGAGTCGACCACGTAAAAAAGATGTGCGGTTACTCCAACAAGTGCAAAATTACTGAAGGCTCCACCGCTTCATCCTGAGAGCAAACTGGGGGCGTTGCTAATGTGCTGGGTTAACATTGTTCCGCCCTTGATAAATCTTATAGCATCTTATAGCTACAAAGGGGCCCTGCACCATCTACCAAGTTAGGTATTGCCCATCAGGGCAGTCCTTGATGCTCTTAATCTGCTCAGACTGGATGGCAGGCATTCTGATCTTGATCGACTCGATGATGCTTCGCAGATTGAGATTTGGAATCCTTGACAGTCACGGTCAACTGTTGTTGATGTGGCGCTACTGCTAGGTAAGCAAAAGCATTCTTGGCAAAATGCACTGGCAAAATTGGGATAGTCTCTGCTTTCTTCTACATCAAGATGCACCCCTGAATCTCGAAGCTACGAGCCTGTTGCTACATACATTGCTGCGGCATTGCGATCTCAGAGAATTGGGAGCCAAGATTATCTTATTAGGCTCCCAACTCACTTTGACATTCTGATTGACGCATTTCGGGACTATTTGGTTGGCTCATACTCGGATCAATTCTCCACAGCCAAGTGCAAATCTGAGGCTCAGGGTTGTGTGTGCCAAGCTCATGTTTGTCTTTGGACTGGAGCGTTTTCCCAGTGCGAGCCATTTTTGAATGAAGGCGCGTTCATAGGAATGGCCATCTGCACATACCACCGGGTCCTGAAAACAATGCACATACAGACTTGCCACAGACACTTCTGTAACGTCATGAGTGTTGAGAATCCGTACACGTTAAACATCGTTAAACCGTTCTACTGCTGTCCCAGCTTTATCCAAATAAAAATTGGGAAGTTCACCGTGACCATCCTCGTTCTACACCCAGGTCCTCCATGACTTGTTGAGAGATTGGGCAAATTGCATCCTTAGTGTGTCGCCAGCCGCACAGGCGGTCGTTTCCTATACACCCTCCAACTATCTCTAACTTGTCAAACACCTCCACTGGTCACACCTTTGAAACCCTTTGAAGTGTCACACACTTGCTCAGAAACATCATTGCGAATTTCTGTTGTGGAATGCATCTCACGTGCACAAACAATTCAATAAAACCTGACAGGAAAATTGGTTGACCCAGCGTGAAATTCAGTTTGAAGAAAACTTTCTACGCCCTTGCTCTGAAGACAGTTCTGATGCAGCTGAACCATTCGTAAATGACCAAAATAAATCCAGATTGCGACAACAGTGCAGAAACCGTAAGTTTCAATTGGACGCCATGGAGGTTCTTGCTTGCATGGACAACCAGCCCCCCTGCTAAAGAAGTTTTACATCTTTACAGATGGTTCACACACACACACACCCTCCCGCAGGAGGGTGAGAAATTAAGGTCCCGACCATGAGGTGAAAATGAAGAAGGGAAATGAAAATGAGGTGAAGATGACAATGAGATGAAAGTTACTTAACCAGGACGCAAAGAGGGGAACGCAAAAGAAGAGGGAAGGAGAAAACACCAACACATGAAACCTAGCCCAAAACGGGCAACCCTGGAAAGGCAAGGGAAAAGAAAAACGGAGGCCGACGGACAACGGAACAAGACCAGCGGAGGAGGGGGAAGACAGAAGCGCCTGAACCAACCTGACACGGCGCAAACCTACAACAACCTCAGCACGCAACGGGCCAAACCTACCTGGAGGGAGGAGAACGCAAGAACACATGAAAAAGGAAGAAAAAGGGGACCCATGGGGAACTAGTTGATGACAGGATGCATCCACAACTCATGCAGTTTCCCCTCGTTAGGCTCAATGGCCTGAGTTCAAGTCACAACCCTCTGGACGGCTTAAGTAGTCAACCCCTGAATTACATGCACAAATTTGAACCTCACCAACGACCATAAAAAGAAAGAAAAACCACACCTAAAGCATGTCCTGTTGCCTGATCATGAAAGAAAAGGTGAAGCCAGGCACAGCGGCATGTTGTTCAACACATCGACATCGACAGGTGAGACCTGGAAAAAAGGCCGACTGTTTCACATTACTTACACGAATTAATTACAAATTCAAAAGTGTAAATTCCGACAAAAAAGGTGAGGCCAGGCACAGCGGCAGGCAGTTCAACGCATCGACATCGACAAGGTGAGAATCGGAAAAAAGGCCAGCAGTTCACTTTACTTAGACGAATTACTAATTCAAAAGTGTAAATTCAGACATCGTTTTACTGTCAATTGTTAGCCTGGAAAGGCTTTCCCCGAAGGGTTCCTGCCAACTTGACGTACACAGCAGGAATGACACACTTGCTCAGAAACATCATTGCGAATTTCTGTTGTGGAATGCATCTCACGTGCACAAACAATTCAATAAAACCTGACAGGAAAATTGGTTGACCCAGCGTGAAATTCAGTTTGAAGAAAACTTTCTACGCCCTTGCTCTGAAGACAGTTCTGATGCAGCTGAACCATTCGTAAATGACCAAAATAAATCCAGATTGCGACAACAGTGCAGAAACCGTACGTTTCAATTGGACGCCATGGAGGTTCTTGGGTTGAGCCTCTTCCCATTTCTGAAAATTGGCAGGTACGTCACTGGACGTCTCCAGTGATATCAGTGTCTCATGCAAGCCTCTTCGTTGGGCTGGTACTTGCATGGACAACCAGCCCCCCTGCTAAAGAAGTTTTACATCTTTACAGATGGTTCACACACACACACCCTCCCGCAGGAGGGTGAGAAATTAAGGTCCCGACCATGAGGTGAAAATGAAGAAGAAGGGAAATGAAAATGAGGTGAAGATGACAATGAGATGAAAGTTACTTAACCAGGACGCAAAGAGGGGAACGCAAAAGAAGAGGGAAGGAGAAAACACCAACACATGAAACCTAGCCCAAAACGGGCAACCCTGGAAAGGCAAGGGAAAAGAAAAACGGAGGCCGACGGACAACGGAACAAGACCAGCGGAGGAGGGGGAAGACAGAAGCGCCTGAACCAACCTGACACGGCGCAAACCTACTTAAAGGGTTGAAATATTTATGAGCAGGTTATAACTTGGTAATAACCTATTCGTTTCTTTGGTAACATATGTTTTAAGTTCGGTAACTACTTTGCATAGTTAGAAGAGTTGTGACGTACTTAGCGGCAACATCATATATTAGTTAGGACGGACTTAGAAATAGTTACGACCTAGTTAGGTTTTTGTTGGTTTTGGAGGGGTTTGCATGCTGGATCTATACGTTTTATGTTTGGAAACTGGCCATGTCTGAGTGAAGCATGTTTGTGACGGAGCCATTTTTCATTTTGTCAACGCGTTGAGAGATTGCACTGCCATGGCTGAAGTGGAAGCTGTGACAACGGAGACGGTTCGCCAAAACCGTCGAGTATCACAGGATTACTCGAGGTTGGATGACTTTTTGCCGTTGTCTGTGTGGCAGCGGCTGCAGAAGGCTTCTGGTGACAGGCATCGAGCAGAGATTCTGTCGGAATTCTGCTTTGCTTCCTTAGGTTTGCGTTTGCCATCGGAAGGCACGTATGGAACTATGACGGCCGTAATGATTTCCTTTGATTCCTGTAAGAGCCAAAGTGAATTCTATGATGGGGTGCAGATTGTTAAGGCAGCCTGGCATTCGACCTCAAAGCGGCTGAAGAAACGATTCGCAGATGATAAGGGCCAGCTGCTGTTAGTTTTGCCTTCTTGTGCGGAAGGATTGCCTGATCGAGAAAGGGAGTCTTTCAGAGAGAATCCTCCTGCGACGGAGGGTGAGCGACTGCATTCCAGTGCCAGTGTGCAACGGCTGGCTACATTGGGTCCTTTGCGTGGGACGCATTCGGCTGTGAAGGAGGTGAAGGAACGACGTCAGGCTGCGGCTGCCGAAGATCCGACGGTGAAATTATTGCGGGCTTTGGCGATGTTCTTGCCAGATCGCTCCTGTGAGGGGCGTCCAGAAGGAAAACCGGATAAGGGATTGACAAATTTGAGGATCTTGACGCCTCGGAGGTTGACCATGGGATCTGAGCGATCCATGCAGGAACGGGAATCTTGCCTGAGCGCCTCCGTTCCAGAGGTTGCGGGGGGAGATGTTGCTGCTGCGCGTGCTGTGTTGGCATTGCCGGCACCGCCTCCTGCAGAGTCATTGGCCTTAGTGGCTGTGGCGCCACAGGACAGTGTAGTTTCCCGTGAGGAGAGGGTTTCTGTTCGCAGGGGGCCTGCTGCCTGCGAGGCGGCCCGCGAGAGAGGCACCACCGCGCAATGCCACATGGCTGAGCAGCGCGAGCCTGTCTGCGAGACAGGCAAGGCTGAGGAGCGCGAAAGAGGCCAAGTGGGGCCAGCCTGCGTGGCTGCCGCACAAAACGAACGACCAATGGTTCCTGCGGGGGAATCGAAGTTGCGCAAGGATGCGGCTGCTTTCTTGGCTGAGCGCCAGCAAGCGCCTCTCACTCGTGGAAAGGGCTTGAAGCGACCAGCTGCGGCGCCGAGCGCGTCGAAGTCCAAGAAGGTCGCGTTGAAGCGACCAGCGTCCCGCGTGGAGTGCAAAGGAGCAGAGAGCAATGCAACAGAAGAAGAGACCTTTGCCAATTTTAGCTTTAAGGCGATGAAATGGGGCGAGTGCCGTGCAGAATTCTACAAGCAGAAGTCTTACATTCGCCGCTGGGACGATGCCACTGGCAAGTATGTCATGGTGATTGGAAGCTGCGAGCCTCATCACCGTCAGATCTGTCAGCAGCTGAGCAAGCAGGTGCAGGCAGGGAAATCACGGGAAGCATTGCTGAAGGAAAGGACTCGCATCTCGCGCACGTTTTTGTGAGAAGGCTTTATAGTTAGCTTGGGGGCGGACCGATGTTGATACACATCACAGGCATTGGGGAAAAAGAGATGTGTTGCTAGCATTTGTCTGACGGTATAACTCAGCTAGACCCTTCCGGTATAATCTTGTTAGGGGGGATGTATGTTTGTCAAGCTGTCTTTGTTTCCGCAGCCGCTGATGGGTGCTCAAGCTCTTAGGCGCGCGGGCGGCCGCGGTGGGTGCGGGGTTTGCTTCCTTGGTATACTCTGCGAGAGTTGCATTCTTGGGACCTGCGGGGTCCCAAGATCTTTAAATATATTTTTATATTTATATACATATATATAATTAATAGCACAGAGATAGCACAGAGACACACTTATACATATATATATATATACATATATATATATATATTATAGTTATTTATTAATAAATGTAGTGAAAAAAGGACACACCATTATGTTTCGCGTTGGATAGCGAGTCACCGATATCATCTGGGGGAATTAAAGGTTAAATGTATATAGTCGGTATATGTTGTCATCCGGGTTCTTACCGTCCAAGAAATAATGGGATCTTGTTACCATGTGAAGATATACTCATGTATTTATATCGGTATATTAATTTCTGTATATATGATGTATTTATCTGCATCATAAATACATCCAACATCGTGTGCATCCCTGCAGGTCTTGTTTTGTCGTCGAGGAGGACGCTCCCGTCTGGTCCGAGTGGGTCGTGGTGACAATGCCCAGGGATGTGCGAAAAAAAGAAATGATAAGCTCTGGGTCTGACTCCGAGTCAGAGACCGCCCCAGCGGCGACGCCGAAGTCAAAGCCAGCCCCGAAAGAAGCTGCAGCCCCTGAGTCGCCGCCGACCTCGAGTGATGAGGAGGATAGTGGGTCAGTGGATTCTTTGGAGTTCACGTATGGCAAGGGGAAAGGCAAAGGGAAAATCCGCGGCGGTGGACGCCAGGCGCATGCTGCTGCGGACGTGACTGGCACCTGCGAGGTGCGGGACAGGACGCCGCCGCCACCGCCTCCACCTCTGCGCCTGCAGGAAGCTCCACTGAGACCACAAAATGCAAATATTTGCACTTTAGGCACTTAATGAATTTATAAGTATACTATAAG